GAGCATAATTAGTCAAGTATTTTCTGTTCATAGATTGATCAGCAGCTATGAATGGATGGCCAATAATGACTTTGATATTTTGAAACTTCTAAGATTTCGGTCCTACTTAGCTATTCTATCTCTTTAATTAGATTCCTCGGCTCACTTTTGCCGGCCATCGGGAGGTAGTATCCAGTCTTTGTTGGATGCCAAATCAGTCTGGTGATACTACCGTAGGCGCTGTTTCTGCCACACAATTGGTTTCAGCCAGTTGGGACCACTCGCTTCGCCTCTGGGATGTAGAGACAGGTGCCGAGTTGCGTCTCGTGATGGCCAATCATGCACTGCAAGAGGCACGCGCTGCTCCTCAAGGCATACTCACTGCTGCATCCGATAATCGGGTTCGCATTTATGACCTACGAGCAGACAGTGAGTGAGGCACTTCGTTTTAATATTACACTGTTGGAATGTGGGTTTGGTTTGGGCACTAATTTAATGGTCATCTCTCTAGCTGGGAAGAAGTAGCCCATAATTTTCTTTCATTCTGAGTGAAATCTCACTTCACACAATGAGACCCATCAGTAGCACTCCATTTTCTGCAAATTATCCCTTCGTAAATAGCTCAATCCTTAAAGCATCAATTCGCCAATTTCACCCTACATTTGAAGCTGAACATCTCTGCTTCAGTGGATTCATGCCTACTGGATCCCATTTATCTGAAATGTCCTCTCAGCATAGTGTCATCATGATGACTTAATTAAGATAATTCATCAACGGTCTATTGATAATTTAAATATAAATGATCTAAATCCATGCTGATAAATGCGGTGCTGATGCTGGCTTCTACCAAACTCAAGCCAACAATGTACCCACCCTTTGAAGGCAATGTATTTGTGTTTTAAGATTAATTCGATAATAATGTAGTTTTAGTCGAGATTATCTGATAATTATTAGCTGTTGACAATATATAAAATATAGAATAACCTTCTTTGTCGGTAACGTGTCAAGACTGTATGCTGTATTACTCGAGTTCTAATCCCTCTGGGGGTGCTGATAAGACTTATGTGAGGTCGAAAC